TTACACAAGGTCTTTTGGTTTGCACAGAGAATCCATCCTTGTGTAACTTGTTGACATTCTAACTCTAAATTCATCCTTTTTCCCTTACTTTTTTTTTTCTAAAGAATCCACGTGTAAAATAATCAATTACCTATTTTAAAAAAGGAGGGTTAATAAATGGCATACCTCTTGGTCGAATTCCTCACCTAAGAAACACAAAAACATTGTTTAAAAATAAAATAAAATACTCCCAATGTGTCCTATGTATAAGGTTCTTTAGACTTTGAAGGTAGTTTACTAGGTTGGCCGCCCTAGGGTTAAGTTTTGTCTAAGTCCATTACATGCGGTTTCTTAGTGGATCCTATACGATTAGGTTTTTTCAACTGCTAACTTCCATAAGTCAACAATTATTGACTTCCATAAAGTCAGTGATTGCCAACTTCTATAAAGTTAACAAGAGGCATTTCATGACCTAATATAGCAGCAGCATTATGGCTGTCAAGCCATATTAACCCACAAAATGAACCTAAAAGAGATAAATCTCACTTCACAATGAAAGCATTGCGTTTTTCATTGCTCCATGAGTTATCCATCTATTTAGAGGTCGGGTTCACCTCATTAAGGACAAAATGATATGGAAGTGAAGTGTGTGAGGGAGTATACACATAAAGTTAACATATGAAAATAACAAAATAATAAATAAAATAACAAAATAAAAGGAACTTACAAGGCACTTCATGTCACCTACAAAACAAAAGCTAATAATTGAAAAACCCCAAAATTAAAGTATAAATGGCTTGACCCTTCAATGTCCCTAGTGGAGTCGCCAAACTGTTGACGTGCCAAAATGGATGGAGTCGCCATCTATCCAAATGAGGTGGGATATATCACCAAGGTCTTCGTAGAAATTGACTAGGCTCGGAGGGTCGGTTAAGCGTGAGGAAGGTGTTAGGCACCCCACAAACTTCCATATAAATAGGATTACCACATACTTTAATTTTGGGGTATTTTCAATTTTTATAAACTAAAAATTACCAAAGCAAGTAAATAAATAAATAAAATAAAGTAATAATAAT